GTCCTCCCTCAATTGGATGGGGAAGAGAATGGGGGCAGGGGGGGATAAAACAAATGGATTGAGATGGACAGTTTAATGGGACAGAAAAGTAAAGGGGAAAATAATAATAGTAATGCATAACACAGTTGCTCAGCACCTTCTGACCAATGCCAAGCCAGTCCCTGAGCAGTGGCAGCCCCCATTTCTACAGTACAAGAAGCTGAAACGTTCTTTGCTCTGTGCAGCATGGCTCAGCAAGACCAAAACACTGGTGTGTTATCAACGTTCTAATCTGAAATCCAAAATACAGCACCAGACCAGCTACTGGGAGAAAGTTAACTCTGTCCCAGCCGAAACCAGGACACAGAGCTGGGGCTTTGCTGTTGTTCGGACACGCTGAGATATTTATGTTGGATCTTGCTGTAATTAAATACAGGTGAAGTTGCCCTTTTTTGTTACCATTTGCTGTCTCTGAACAGCTAATCTTAACTGGAGAGACCTGATAGCTTTCAAAAATGGTGTCGAACAGCTCTGAATTACTCTGGGATATGTTTTACTTCAAGAATGCTAACAGGAGTTTGTATGATTTTTAAAAAGCTTTAATGCAGGAATGCTCAGTTGGATTCTTCCTTCACTTTCGTTCTATGCAGGTTCATTGGGTTGGACACACTGCAGAAGCAACCTGCAGTGAAGTTTGTCTTTAATCTTTCAGGCTAACCTTGCTTTGTCTCCGCTGTTCATCTTTCAGATTCTGCGTGTGCTTTGTAAGCATTTCCACTGTGCAGAACCACTTGGTCATGGCAAAAAGATGGATGGTATGCCATGGCCGGAGGAGAGGAGTGGGGTGCTCCCCTCCCCTGCCAGAGATCCCAGTAGCCTCTGGGGTCTTTTCAGGCTCCCTGCAGGCATTGGCTCCTCCACATGTATTGGCAATATATATGTTGTACATTTTGCTACGGCCCCAACGGGGGAGCCTGTAGGTGTAGCTTTTCTCTCTTATCAGCTCGCTGTAATATTGTTTCAAGGATGGCTTGCATGTGAAAGGTCAGTATTTTAAGATGACATGCAGTACCCAACTACCCGACTCTCCTATGGTTGTTTATTATGGTATGCATGAAAAGGCAATGAAATGGTCAGACTCATTTTAGAAAGTGTTGTGTCTCGTGAGTTTGAGCTTTTCATGGAAGGACTGAGCAGAAGGCACTTCCTGAATGACTGTGTTCTTCCCTCAGTCAGCTTCCCGAGGTTAATGATTAGTTAAGGAGAACATTGTTACATCAGCCAGTGCTGCTTGCAAGGAGTACCTTTAAGATGCAGTAACTTTTTTAGGAGTACTCTGCCTTTTGCTATTAATTCTTGTTCATTTTTCCCCTTCTTACTTTTACCGTTTCTTCCTTGCATTCTACATCTGTGTACCAAAAAAATATACGTGCTGTTGCTCAGTTCAATTATAGGTGGAGAATGGGGGACTTTGCCAAAGCCTTTCAGAGTGCTTCACCTGGTGGGGTTACACCAGAGTTAATTGTGTGATGTAGGAAAGCTGTTAGCCTCTCAGTGAGCTGCCTGCCTCGTCCCCTAGCTCTCTTTCATGCCTGTCCTCTGAGAAAATCTGTCTCGACTGTTTTGCAGGCTGTCCTGACACTTTGGCCAGTGTGGGTGTTTGTAGTTAGGTGCTTTGCTCAGGTGAAGAGGGACTCAATATTGGATAAATGTGTAAAATTCACTGCATTTAGTGGTGCTGTATCTGGTAATTCTTTCCTGCTTTTAGAGTTTACCTACCTGTAGATATCAGGGCTGGCCGGGGAACAATCTTTGAGGACTTGGACATTGTTGGTGCTCCAGTCTGAAACTGTTAAGATAGACTTAATAACAGTGCTGGCTTATGCTTAAATTGGCTCTCCATCACAGCAGTGCACATCTGTATTAAATACAGATCATAGAAGTGAATCAGATTATCCCCAGTTGGAAGGGACCCACAAGGATCATGGAGTCCAACTCCTGGCTCCGCATGGACCACCCAAATCCAAAACTTGTGTCTGAGAGTGGTGTCCAAACACTCCTTGCGCTCGTGCAGCTCAGGGCCATGCCTGCTGCCCTAGGCTTTGTGTTCCATGCCCACTGCTTTTTTCTAATCCTCAACCTTGCCTTCTCCAGATAAAAGTGGTTCTTTAGTCTGTTCTCTGAAGATAGCGTCATTGCTAATGCAAAGTTAGGAGTGTCTAATGGGAGAGCATTGCTGCAAAGCTAATAGGTAAATTCTGTTACTCAGTTTCTGCTGAGAACTAAATGGTTCCCATCTGTTTTTAGGTGTCTTTGTATCCAGCATTGTTCTGGTGTTACAACAGCGAGCACTTTTCAAGTTTTATATGATCGCCTCGGCATTTCTGCTGGCTGCAACTTCAGTGTTGGTGAATTACTATGCTTCTTTGCACATAAACTTCTACAGTGCCTACTACACAGCAGCTTTTGGAATTCAGTTCCTCCCTCATAAAGGACCTTCGCTATGGATGGCGCTTTCCATCCTTCAGCTTACCTTCGGAATCGGATACGTTACGTTGCTGAACATGCAGTCTGTATATTCCCAGCTAATCATCCTGGATATACTGATTCCTGTAATTGGCTTGGTTGTTGAACTACCTTTACATGTCCGACAGATGCTAGTTTTTATTTCAGGCCTAGTGCTGACACTGAACACCACAGTCATTTTAGTTACGAAAATCAAGTGGTTCTATTACTCAGTGCGGTATGTTTATCTGCTGGTGAGGCACATGTATCGCATTTATGGATTACAGCTATTGGTGGAAGATACATGGAAAAGGATTCGATTTCCAGCTGTTCTGCGTGTCTTCTGGCTGACGAGACTTGCAGCACAAGCTGTGGTATTGACATATGTTGTAAAGATGGCTGAAACTAATACGGAAGACAAATTCTTCTTGATTTCGTGGGATAATTGTTGGGAACTGATCTGCAGCCTAATAATAAGTGGGTGCGATTCTACCTTAACTGTGTTAGGCATGAGTGCTGTCATTTCCTCCATAGCACATTATTTGGGACTTGGCATCTTGGCCTTCATTGGGTCGACCGACGAGGACGACAAAAGGCTGGGTTTTGTAGCACCTGTTCTGTTTTTCATTTTGGCTCTGCAGACTGGTTTAAGCGGACTGAAACCAGAAGAAAGACTAGTTCGTCTGAGCCGAAACATGTGCCTTTTGCTAACCGCAGTCCTGCATTTTATCCATGGAATGACAGACCCCGTGCTGATGTCTCTCAGTGCCTCCCACGTGCCGTCGTTCCGCAGACACTTCCCTGTGCTGTTTGTTTCAGCTTGCCTTTTCATCCTGCCGGTTCTGCTCAGCTACGTCCTCTGGCACCACTACGCACTGAACACGTGGCTTTTCGCAGTTACCGCGTTCTGCGTAGAGCTCTGCCTGAAAGTAATCGTTTCTATCACTGTTTATGTGTTGTTTATGATCGACGGCTACTACAACGTGCTGTGGGAAAAGCTTGACGACTACGTCTATTACGTTCGCTCCACTGGCAATATTATTGAGTTTATATTTGGAGTCATCATGTTCGGAAATGGAGCTTACACAATGGTTTTTGAATCGGGAAGTAAGATCCGCGCCTGCATGATGTGTCTGCACGCGTACTTCAACATCTATTTGCAAGCAAAGAATGGCTGGAAGACTTTTATAAATCGCAGGACTGCTGTTAAGAAAATAAACTCCCTTCCAGAGGTGAAAGGAAGCCGGCTCCGTGAAATAGATGACGTATGTGCAATCTGCTACCACGAGTTCACCACGTCTGCTCGCATTACTCCGTGCAACCATTACTTTCATGCACTTTGTCTTCGGAAGTGGCTGTACATTCAGGACACTTGCCCCATGTGCCATCAGAAAGTGTATATTGAGGACAAGGAGAACGCCAACATCTCTAACAACAACGGGTTTGTGCCACCAAATGAAGATCCTGTACTAGTTGCAGAAGAAGCTGCTGACGCTGAAAATGAATTAAATGAAGATAACGACAGCTTGGATAGTGGCGAAGAAGATGATGATGGTGTGGAACAGCACTTGAATGAGACTCTTAATGCTGACTCTGACTCTCTTGGGTGATTAAGATGTTCTTTCCTAAGCCGTGAGGTATTTGTTTAAATTGACTCAAAGAGAATAAAAGCATCACTTTGTAGTTATTGTACTTTTAAGCACAACAGCAGTATCTCGGTGTTGAGTCTGTGAATGGTGGTTGTTTACTGTGGTGTGTGCTACTGTAAATATACCTCTAATTTTTGCTGGTCTCTTTCATGACCACCTTAAATTATGTACATTATTGTACATGGAATAAAATGTTTTCACGTTTTTAAGATGGTTGGAAAAACACTCTTTAATTGATGTAGTGATAATGCTGTGCCAAAGACTGCCTACCAGTAATCCCTGATCAGTGAGTTCTGGATGTAAAACACTGGTGAAAACAGACAGTTCAGCGGGTTAAATCAGAAACGAAAAGCTTGAACCAAAGCAGCTTTACTTAACAAATTCAGTATTAGCAGAGCTTTATCACTTAAAAAATAGTGAGTTGTGTTTAAAAAGAAAACAATGCAAAGCTTAGGTTGGTAGACTTAACACTACAGCATTTGCCGAAGTGGAGCAAAAGATGAAACCGCTAAGCTTTCTGGTCAAGTAGTAAGCATGCACTTGATTGTTAAGCACTTCTGAATTACCAGTAGTAACTTGAAGCATTCTACACGTGAACTCAGCAGCCTGGTATTCATTTTGCAATGTGTGCAGGTATTAACAAGAGCTGCTAGCTTAGGCTATTTTAGAAATTGATCCCGAATCTTGATGAAAAGGAAATAGGGCTAGGAAACTGTACCAATGCAGACCACTTTTTCAAAATCAGCTTTAATCTTGTACAAAAAGCACTACATATTGGCTTCTGTCGATAAGAACTTGCAGATATGATCAGTCTTAACTTTTTTGCAATATACTTACTAAAGTTATGTTGAATAAATGTAAGAAAACTTTATATATTTGGAAAGAAGACTTTAATAGTGTTGTTATATAGAGTATTGGCCAACTCGAGTGGGTCATCTTCTCTTACTGCTGCCATAATTTCCAGTATTTGACTAAAAAAAAAATAATAATTGATATTAGACTCCAAAAATCAGTACTGAATATACATCAGAGTGTCACATCTGTATGTACATGAGTAACTAAGATTAACCTGGAATAAAAACCTACTATGAGAGCAACAGGGTGAGATGCTCTGATACGGAAACAGCTTCACTTACTAAAGGCAGTAACTTCTATTCCCTGGTCGCTGGTTGCTCACTGGTACAGGTTCATCTTTGGTCTTTTGACTCTTGTTCAGAGGTAATTAAACAGCTTTCTGTTCCAAAGAAAGTGTCATTTTGTGCATGTCTTTATCAGTGGTCTTGACTTTTCAGACTGAAATTCATTAACCTCCTGTCAAGGTTAAAGTGGCACTATAAACAAACTGGTTTATGGCAAAGCTTAAATTCCAGCTACAAATGTAACAGGTTACCTCTACCAGGACAGGTCAGTTCTGCTTCCCCTTTCTCTAGACAAACTGTGATGGATACACTCAGATGTCAGTAGGAGATGCTAAATAAGCACTTTTAGAAGGCCTGGAGCTTTGGTAGAATCCAGGAAAAGGAGGCAAAAGGAAGGTAAAGACAAGTATTAACACTCAGTAAGAGCAAACCAGGCCACGGCTTATTTGTTTTCTGTCACTGAAGTACAGGAAAAACCCTGTATGTTCTGTACAATTCTAGCAGTAGGAAAAAACCAAACTTCCTTGTGGTGAAGATGAAGGACCTTAACTTTAGCAGTGTGGTTTGGGTTTTGGATTTTTGCCTCAACTTAGGCAATAGTTAAACTTCTTTTCAAGGAAAACAGTAGAAAAAGTTGCTCCTAACTGTTCTGGAATGCCAGTATTTTCCTAGATGAAGAATTAAGAGCATTTCATGCTTGTGTTTTGCAGCCAAAAGGCTTCTTTATTTAAGAGTATTTTCAAGAGAAGATGGGATAAGATCAGGCCTATGTAGAAATGATAATTCCAAGTACCAAAGAGTATCAGCCCTGAAGAGCTTTGGGAGGGCTTACAGGTATTTGTCCCCACTTAGTTGCAGTGGGAATGTGATGTTTTGCTGCAATACTGTGTAAAAGCTGCAGGAGGAAAAAAAAAAAAAAAAAAAAAAAAGCCTCTGGTGGATAAAGTTTCCACAAAAATAGCTTCCAAGGTGTGTATAGCAGGTCTTAATACACATTAATATATAGATATCACCATCAAAATTAAAAGCTGTCTTCCCCACTCTTGCACCACCACCAAAGAAAGACAAGTGGAAAAACCCTCCTGCCAACTGAGCTATATTAAACAGTGTATGGACCCTAAATATTAAATATAGTTTGTGGCCTCATGCTAACTTTCCTCTCACAACAGATCATGCTGCTTGACAACTCACAAAATGCCAACTCTCACTGTACTTCCTCAGGCTTACGACATTCTCAAGTTACTAATCTACTACTAGTAATGGTTATAATTAATTTTAAGAGGACAGTATTTTTGAAATAAGGCTCTTATTTCATTAACAGCAACAACAAAAAAGCCACAGTACAGCAGCCACGTACTGCTGTAGGAAAGGCGCCCGGTGCTGCCAGTGCTGGGGTTTCTGAAGCACTGTGATGAGCTGCACGTCGGGCGGCAGACAAACACAGGATGGTGTAACAGACACACCTGCCACAGCAGCCTTGTTCAGGCAGCAGGAAAGGTCATCAACTCTTGTGAGGCAAACAAATGTTCTCAGTTGATCTCTTCTGTATTTGTGGACTGACCTCAGAAAGTCTAAAATTCTGATGCAGCCCTTCTGTCCCAACGCGTGCAGTTTGTGTTATATATAAATAATGAGTTTTGAGGAGTGTTACAGGGCAACATCTCTGCATTAAAATGTATTTTGAGCCCTGGTGAAGTAGCCGTGGCAACTTAAACCATGCTTTAGCATGATCAGCAGTCTCCAAAGTTTCTTCAAGCCTACAACAGCAGCATTCCCTTCCGTTCTCACATACGCTCTTGTTTTGACACTTCAAATTCCTACAGTCTTTAGTAGCATTGTGAGAAGTATTTAGGAATTAGTTCCAAACAGGTACTTTACGCATAGAAACATACAGATTTCACAGCAAATAAAGATCTGGTCAAGTAAAGGGGCTTTGCATCTGGCTCTGTGCAGCTGTGAACTTTGCTGCACTGAAAAGTCACATACTACAACACAAGAAACTTTCCTCATTCCTTCTTTTCAAGGAGCTGGTAACAAGAATGATAGCACCAACTGCCCTAAGCAACCAAAGAGACTTTGCTAGCAGTTGTGAAAATTCATAGATTTCACCTACCCATGCTGTTAATGGAGATAACACTTTCACTAAAACAATACACTTCCTTGCTTTTCCCACCTCTGGGAGGATGCATTCTGAGGATGTAGCAGAAGTCAGGCTTTCTGTACGTTCAGGCTGTAACTCCAGCAGCCCCTACAGCTTTCTCTTACTGTTCTCTCATTGACTACTGTTACTCATATCGAAACTTCACAAGATCAATGTTTTATGAAACATTTGTTCCAGCATCATAGCAGGATGAAGGAAGCACCCTTAACCAAGTTCACATGATGGCATCCTTTACCACAGGCACAGTGACGCCTGAAGGGAACTGGGAGCAGCCCTATCAGTGTCATTTCTGTCTACTCCCTGTCTTTGCACTGTCTGTCTTCAGAGGACAGCACAGCTCCAGAGCTGTATCAGTTTTAAACATAACTGCAATTGATTGAAGTTTATTCAAGTGAGTTTACTTTACAGGGCTTAACTCATTCTTCAGCATACAGAGTGAAAAGAAAGAGTCAGCACTGGTTTCGTTTTCAGGGAGCTTTCTGCATTCAGAATTGTTGAAATGGAAAAATTAAGTCCTTAACATATACACATATATCTATATATTTTACAACCCATTAAGTAATACCTTGCATACTTAAATACATTTAAATTCATTTCTATTTACTATCTTTCCCGTGGACTGTTGCTTTTCTTTTCCCCCTGTGTATCTGAAATATTTTATGTAATCCTACAGGAGTGCACTTACATTATATGGCAGGGCTCATTCCTGTCCTTCAGGCAGTGCCCCATTTCCCATTTCTTTTTGGTAGGAAATGTGGTTTTCACATATTTCGATCCAGCATGAGTATTTTTCACTCCACACCAGGGTGCATCTAGTTTCATTTGAAAAACAGAATTAAGAGCATGCAATCACTTGAGAATACCATTAGATGGCTTAATCAACTCAGCCACAGACATTAGTTTTCCTTATCTCTTTTGAGGAATGACTTGAACAGACTGGGATAATTTAATACCTGAACAATCTTTGCATTTTTATACCATTATCTTAAGCAGTTTACCTTTTAAAATACCATACAGTAACACATCCCACTAATCTCTGACATAACAATGCATGCACTGCATCTGTTCCAAAGACATTTCCAAATTTGTCAACATTTGTGCTTCGTAAGCAAATTAGTTAAAAGCATCCAGGCAGTTTGCTTTTTTTTTTTCAGATTCAGAAATTCCAATGAAGCCAGCATTTTTAACTGTCAGTTCCTCACATGTGAAGCGCACACACAAAGAAATCCCACACTCTGAAGTTGCAGCTCATCAGCCCAAGAGGGGAACGTGAGCCTTCTCCCACAGTACTCCATTTAAAGAGCTGTTGTTTCCAGTTGACATTACAGCTACCACTGGCAGGACCTCAGCCACTGCCCTGTCTGGCACGTCTCCAGCAAGCTGCACTTTAAAAGATAGTTGAGCAGGACTTCAGTATTTAAATACAACTGAAAATCCAGGCTTGTCAGTGTACCCTTTCCACCTTCCCCTGTTACACTGGGGACTGACAGGCAGCTCCTTCCCTCGAGCAGAAAGCTGAAAAGGAGTACTCAGAGAGCTCACAGGCTGCCCTCCAAAACAGAGCACTGGGCAGTCCGTTCTCCGCTCCTGTCTCCTTCCTCTCGGGCTTGCCTTATCACTGCTATGCAAGCATATCGTGTTGCCCAACAGCATTTAAGTCACGAACTGCTGACCAAGATATAAAATCTTACCGGTCTCTATCATTAATCGTTCACTAGGAATTGATTTCAGTGCTTCCAAGTTGGCTTCTGTTTTCAATGAACTAGAAAAATAAAAAGTGTGTACAAGTCATTACTTCGCCTGTTGAAGTGTTTCATAGCAAAAACAGCCTCCTAAACAATTTAAAGAAAATTTGCTTTGTTTTTTTTTTAAATGCTGCCTCTAAATTCAAACTTTGCACTTAGCAGCAAACATGGAGTTACTGGGAAGCTGGCTTGCCCTGGGGACAGAACCCATCTGCCCAGCCTCAGCTACCCGTGCCACTGAGACAGCCAAAGCTGGCTGTGTGACCAGCAGATAAAGCTGATCAGGTGACATTTTGCACTACTCCTATATTTGACATGGTAACTGAAAACTATGCTGTTTTTTTTTTCATGATCTCACAGCAAGACTGCTTCCACACTCTATCACTCTATTCATTTCCAAACGAGGACTGACTGGAGGGTAGTAGGAAGGACCCCAGACCAGATTAGCTTGCTGAGTGGTGAGTTAAGAACTTTTTGTAGCTAAAAGATTAATGAGTGCAATTCTAAATCTGTCAGATGATTAAGGGCCTATCGAGCTTTGAAAACTTGACCTCGTTGTTTAAAAGAAACCAATGAGTTCATTGCAGCTGCCATTTTAAAATAGCTTTATTTCCTGCGAGGAACTTACCAGCCATTTATTCCAATGTAAAGATCCAAATCTATTATTGCTGCTGCTTCTTCCTTTGTGCCATCAAAAGAATGAACCTACAATCAATATAAATGCATATGCAGATGTGTAATACACAGACTTAATTTAAAACTCCAATCATTTAAAATCATACAGGAGTATTGACTTGCGTCATAAATACCTTTCAATGGAATGCATTACACATGTATTCAAACAAAGATGGGACATAGCTCATCTGATTCTGAACTGGGGCAAAGCTCAGGCTGAGGTCACTGGAATGCTGCAACAAAACCAGTTATCACGTTTCATTAGTGATTAATGTAGGAAAAGTCTATGCTGTGATACTGCTTATGGCCCACAAATTTTCTGTAGCCAATACCTGAAATCTGGGAGGTTACATACAGCAAGCAATGCTGTGTGTGCTTAGTTTTTACATTCTCGCCTTGGTCTTCCCTAGAGGACACTGCCAGAGTAAGAGCTGGAATTATTTTCAGCACAGATTTTAGCCCAAAGGAACCCAAAGCCTACTGGTCATCTTAAGGATGAGAGGCAAGCGACGGGTCGTAGGGTGTGAAGTGTAACCCATGTGGAAGCTGTGGTCCCTGAAGGGAGCAAAGAGAGCGCCCACTTCCCCGTGCAGGCAGAGGAACAACCAGCAGCAGAGGGTGCTCTCTGTGTCTCTGCTTGATATCAGCTGTGCAGGACTGAAGGAAGGAGTGACCACTCAGTGCAACTTCAGAGCTTGGGGAAGGTTTTGCGGTACAAATGGGGAGACTTGGGGACGGAGATAACCAGACCAGTTGTGGTCTGACACAAGCACGATGCAATAATCCAAGTCTTCATTACTTTTGGAAAACCACGGCATAATGGAAAACTGAAAGAGAACTGCTGGACTTCCTTAATCATTTCATCTGAAGTTTCTTCCTGCTATGTGTTTGAATTAAAATACACGATCTGAATATCTAAGGACAGGAAGCAATCAGAAGATACATCTGGATGTAATTTGAAAATCATGTCTGATGTCAGAAGCAAATGTTTGAGGTTACAGCTCCCACTGGGAACACGCATCCAAATTATCTGTGGTCTGGAGGCACTGCAGTTACAGGCACTGCAGAATTGGGAAGAGGCCAATGTCAATTATAAGGTGCTTAAACTGTCCTTCTGCTAGGCCAAGAAAAACTGGTCATGTCAGCTCAGAGCCATGTCTCAGCCTATTCCCTTCCCTTGCAACATAAAAATGTTGAATAAGCAACAAAACTAAAAATACTGATATAATACAGATTTTTTTTTTTTTAAAGAGGATTGCAAATAGTAATTTATAATAGCTGAAAGTACCCAACAGGCAGCCTCCACAGACTCCATGGCAAACAATAAGTCACACATTAACAACGACATTCACATACATCCTCCAGCCCCACACACATATGTAAAAACGAACCCCACACCAAAGCCCATACTTACCACTCCTCCAACAAATCTATCTCTGTTTCTTCTCATTATGTCTGCAACATAAAGAGTAGAAACATAAGGTGGTTTTGTAACAGACAAAGGTGAAGGATCCCTGTTTTTCACACAGGGTGGTGACGCACTGGAACAGGCTGCCCAAGATGGGTGGTTGGCAACCCTGCACGTAGCGGGGGGGTTGAAACTAGATGATCATTGTGATCCTTTTCAGCCCAGGCCATTCTATGATTCAGGTTTCTAGATTTTTCATATTCAGAATTTGTTACTGCTTGAAATCCTCATGCAACACCCACCTAAAAATTCAGCATGTGAGTTTCTGCAGTGAAGAAACATGGGCAGTCTTGTTTGCTCTGCCAGGTCAAACTGTTTTTCGAAGTATCTGTAAAACAAAAATCACTTTTAAGCAGAAATTCAGTCAAAGACTAATGAAAGACAGCAGAACAGTTTTTCCAGTGCTTGTACATTTTGGTCCTCCAGAGCTAAAGACAAATCGATGGATTTGCCATGCAGAAGCTATCATCCATTCAACAATTTAGGCATTCACGTTTAAAAGCAACTTTCTGCTGCGGGATATTCATGCAGCAGTGATGAGCACAGATAAGAAGTGGCCAAAAGCATCAATAATGGAAGAACTCATAAACATCTATGCTGAGCACATACCCCTGAGTATTGTGAGTGCTGGTGGAATTGGGTTTTATTTATTTGTAATGACAGAGGAACTGCCAGTTCTCTCCACAAGGTTCTGAAATGCCAGGGATAGAAGAGAGTGTCTATCACACAGAGACTGCTATTTCAAGAAGTATTTGTAAAAGGTGTGGGGGTGGGTGAGGGAGCACTGTGCAGAATTCTATAGCCCCGAATGGCCCAAATTAGTCCTCAGAGCTGGCAAAGTAACAACGCAGAGTTTTTGTTTGCTCTTCCACAAAGGTCAGCCTTGTCTTTCTTGACATGAAACAAATACCAATACCACGCATCTTCTGCCCTGTTTTGCACACTGTCTTCACTCTTTCCCCATTTCTCAATGGTTCTCCCTCTATTGCTTGCGTGCCTGCATCCTCTCCTTTTCACTCATTGTTATTCCTGTCCTACCTCCTACTTCCAGTGTTCCCTTTGAAGGAGCAGTAACAGCGAGGCAGCCATCTATGAAGACAAAGACGTGGGGCAGAGGGCAGTAAGCAGGTAGCCAGATCCCCAGTGCAGTTTCTAAAGTTAGAACCAGTGAGTACTAATTTAACCTTGTCTCCAGTAACCTGCTGCTAGTTCTGATCCCACAGTATCATTACTTACAGTTTCTCTGTCTGCCATGCTACACTCAGGCATGAGAATTAGAAATGCTCCTCTCATGCTCCTCATAATTTTCTTTGTAGTTGGACACTGTGCATAGTCTACACTGACTAAAATCCAAATTTAATTGCAATGCACAATTGCTCTTGCTGTTTAAATAGCTACAGTTGCTTGATTGATGTTTTGTATTTTTTTTTTTTTTTAAACAGCTGTTTTCATTCTTCAGACTTGCTTCATACAAAAATGAGGTTTTAGAGACTGAGCTGCAAATAATCCCCATAAGTAACTACTGGCTGATGTAACCTTTTACCCACAAAACCACTACTGTTCTCAAAGCTGAGAGGGAGGCAATGCAAGCTTCTTCCTTATCTAGCTACGGTGAAGCCCATCACATCACATGCTGCTATGTGCCCTGTGAAAGAGAATGAGGAAGTCGACAAGGAAGTTCCTAGATAAAAAAGAACAAAACACAAAAGCCAGGAAAGAGAAACTCTGGAAAAGCCGACAGAAACCTGACATATGGTGATCAGAACATAACAGTGTAAACCATCAGGATGCCAAGCCTTACTAGTTACAGTACTGAAGGTATGGCCTTTTTCTGTCGGGTGAGAGCCAGGCCACTGGCTACATCTGTTTCTCCTCAATAATGTTTGAAAACATCCTTGCTTGTTTGTTTGCAGATTTAGTATTGAGCACAGACTTCAAATGCTCTGGCATTTTCAGTTTGGGGATCACAGCACTAACACAGATGAAGCAGATTTGGCCATGCAGAAGTAGATCTCCAGAAAAGCAATTTGGGATTCACGTATGAGTGATAGTACATTTCTTCTGTCTGTTTCAAAGAGCTTTGAGAAACTAGGTTCATGTATTTTGTTCTGTCTGATTTGGGGAATATTTGCAGTACTACATTCATACAGTAAAAGACATGATCAACTCTCCCTACTGATTACTTGTGGCAATTAGGAAAATATACAACTAACCACTGCCCCCCAGTGACTAATTCTACCCATAGCAGCAACCTGCTACAATTCAGTCTCCTTTCATTGGAATGCCCCTTCCACCACCCACCTTTTCTCACAAAGAGAACTGCAGACAAAGACTGTCAATACAGGAATGCAGGCTGATGTTAGGGGCTGTGGTTGCTCCTGTCACTCAGTATGATTGCTGTGTACATTACTTCAAACTACCAATCTCTCCGGGTCCTCAGATGAACATATCAGCCCTCAATTATCTCAGCTAACACTGCCCATAGTAAAAGCTTCCTTCTCTCCACTGCTGACTTACTCTTTTTGATAGTTCTGTTCCCTCCTCTACACCTTCCACTCCAACAAACTAATTCTTCCTTCACATACTACAGTTACATTAATTCTCACCAAGAGTCTGCTAGACTGAGCGTGAGCAAGAATGAATAGCTGCCATACCTGGAAACCCAGCAATTCTGATGGATTTTACAGGAAAGGACACGTTGGACCCACACCGTGCAGGAAGCAAAATTCACTGCTTCCTTTAAAGTCACGTTTTCTGACACAAAAAAATCTGCAAATTGCAAATGTCTACCTGACTAAATGCTACCTGGTACAACACAGGAAGGAAAACACTGATGTACAGCGATACAAATCAACTTATAGACAGCAAGTTTCTTACTTGAGTTGGATGTCCTTTGGGCAAAACTCCAATCTGTCAAAATCTACAATTAGAAAGAACAAAACCTCAGTTAGTTAGGGTTGGAGGATGTCTACACGTTTATACATATCAGTACTGAAGTACTAAGATAACACTTACCTAGGCCACATTCTCCAACTGCTATTATCTTTGTCTTATTCTTTTCAATCAGATTTTTTAATTCTGATAAATACTGGTCAGGGTTACTCTGCTCAAATTCCCCGCAGCGTGTAGGGTGGCAGCCAGCTGTGCTGTAAAACATATCTAAAGCAACACATTATTAGATGGTTTTAAGAAAAAAATATGAGTTCATATAAGCTATAGCCATTATCTGTGCCTGGACATTTTGCATTACTTGTAATTTCAAAAGAAAACTCCCTCTTTATCTCATGTGCCTCTACATTCATTAGCTGGGACAGGATTTTGCAAGCAATGTCTGACTTACCTAGAAATTCCTTCTAGATGACCTCAGTACCAAAACAAAAAGACACATGCAGTGCCTTTACGAAGAATGTAGAAATATGGAAGGGAAATACATATGTATAAAATATGCCTTTATGCATATAAAAATATTCATATAAATACATATGTACACACACATACATAGTACACACACACAGAACGGCCTTAAGCAATGGGTTGGACCAGGTTACCTCCTCTGCTTCATTCCAACCTGAGTTCTTTTATGATTCTCTTCTGTAAACAGTACTTTAATGTATATAAATACACTACTTTCTTAAATAGAATAAGTATTTAAGTAATTAGTGCAGTGATAACTACCTGAAGAAAAAAAGGAGGGATACATTCCTTTTAATGGAAAACTGGGAGGGAGATACATTCTACATCATATATCTATTTCAGCCTACTTCTGGAAGAGGGCCTTGTGATAAATTGTGCTTCCAGCAGCACACATGGCTTGGTTTTTCTAAACATCTGAACTGCCTAGAAACAGAAATCAGAGCAATGATTAATCCTTTCCAACACCCAGAAATCTAAATAGCTATATAACGCCATACGCAATGCAGTGATCTCACTCTGAATCCTCATTTCCAATTTTAATCTGAGATTCTGTAAGCAAGTCCAGGGGCATGTCTTTATACACTCTTAATGTAGGAGGCTCAGGGAGACCTCACTGCACTCTACAACTTCCTGAAGGGAGGCTGTGATGAGGAGGGGTTTGGCCTCTTCTCCCAGGCAACAAGCAGAACCCGAGGAAATGGCCGCAAGTTGTACCAGAGGAAGTTAGACATAAGGAAGAACTTTTTCTCTCAGAGAGTGGTCAGGCACTGGAATGGCTGCCCAGGGAGGTGGTGGAGTCGCCGTCCCTGGCAGTGTTCAAGAGGCGTCTTGAACAGAGGATGAGGAGCTATGAGATATGGTTTAGTGCTTGTGGTAGCAATGGTAATGGGAGGATGGTTGGACTAGATGATCTTGTGGGTCCTTTTCAACCTTGTGATTCTATGATTAATTCTGAGAGACTGTGGGCAGATTCAATTATTGACCAACAATAGAAGTCTGAAGCAAAAATACCATTGGTCTGTGCCAGCTGCAATGCATCTTTACTGTCCTGGAGACTCCCACCTGTAATCAAAAACTGGAAAGAAGAAGTACTGTCAGGATGTTCTGCTTTGAATATCAAGCAAAATGTTTAAGAAAACATTCAGAGAGAACTAAGAGTCTAGGCAGAGAACACAACAAGACAATTATTAATGTGCATATATAACAAAGCTTCATACATCAGTAACAAAGAGATTTCCTAAATCCCCAGGACCCAGGAAATACAGTAGGTAACAAAGATAGATTTTTTTTTTTTTTTTAAATCAAATCACCTTATATCACCATAAATCTGCAGATATAGACAAATATAAATATTTTCAGATTAAGAGATTAAGTTTTCAGGCAAGCAAACACAGTTTGGGATGGGGCAGACTTCTGGCACTGCATGGCTCCGTCCTTTAGATAAGAGGCTTTCAGCAAACTGCCAAGTGCTCATTCCTCCTGCCAAGGAGGGTTTATTTAATATTTCTAACACACCAGCAGAACAGTTCACAACAGCGTCCAATGTGTTGTATTTTAACTCTTATCTCTGCCTTGATACTTCATTGATTTTAGAGATGCATACATAGGCATACAGTAGGCAGACTACAACTAAATAATGTGGTCCAAGACAGACAAGTTAAAAGAGTTACAAACCTGCTTACTGTTATGGAGTTTCAATATGTGAAAGCTAACATTTACTAGCAGTCATTCAGGTATCACAACCACACAAGCTTATAGGTACTTCTACCTTTTCTGCAGTCACCAATTACCTTTATGTATCAAAATATCTGCATATTCACAGCCATCAGACCTTTTTTGAATATTTGCCCGTGCACCGGTAACTGCAAAGTGAGTCACCTAAAACAGGACAATGTATCTAAATTGAAACTTCTGTAATGATTTGCTACAGTATGTAGGAGGAGAACATCTTTCCACTGAAAATGTACAATTAATCACAGATCATACACAACAGCACTGAATTAAAATCATTACTGCCTAATGATCAGTGCAAATTAAAGACAAGGCTCTCGGCATGGAAGACTTCCACATTACGGTAGTGAAGAAAGTTGCCATGTTTTCCTTTGCAACTTGCAGAATTGTTTCAATAGTGGAGCACTCCAAAAATATCAAAAGCAGGATAAAATGTGTAGAAAATTCCAACTGCGAGGAATTACCTTTTTAACACCAACTTTGACAGCTCTCTCTACCACATCCAAAAGGTCATCTGCAAAAGCACACAGAAACATCACATACTGAACTTCATAAGGAGCCAAGTAAACTTCAGGAGCCAAGTAAACTCCTTTTGAACGTAAAATTACATTCACGCGGTGCCACCGCATACACACACACACAAAAAAAAAAGACTTGGAACCAATAGCGAGAATCACAGAAGGGCAGGGCTTGGAGGAGCCCTCAGAGCCGCCCAGCCCCGCCCCACTGCGGGAAGATTCCCGCCCAGCTCAGCTGCCCCGCAGCACCGCAGGGATGGGGGCGGCCGTGCCAGCCCACACAGCTTCCTGCTTCATGCCTTAACACGGAACGGACAGCCAGACTCGGAGGAAAAACGAATAAATAGGAAGTTCGAACATGAAGCAATGCGTACCTTGATGTTTTCGCGTTCCCCTGTAGATCCCCCTGAACGCGGGGTCCGTGAGGTTAACGCCGATATCTGCCAACAAAAACCCCGCAGATGTACGTGGGTTCATTCTGAGCAGCAACTCAAAGCGCACCTCGGCGACCCGAGGGCACCGCACTGACAGCGCCCGCCAAGCGACCCGAGCCGCCCCTCCAGCACGGCCACCCCCACACCAAGCCCACACTCCCCCTCCTCACACCCCGTCCCGCCGCCCCCTCACCCACGAGCTTGGCGCGGCTCATGGCGGCGGTGGCGGCGCGGCGCATGCGCAGTGCCGTACCGTCCTTCCCGTCAGCCCCGCGGGTCGGTGAGACATGGCGGCCTACCTGACGCACCAGCAGAAGGTGCTGCGGCTGTACAAGAAGTCCTTGCGGCACTTGGAGTCCTGGTGCATCCATCGGTGAGGAGGGGAGGGCTGGCGCGACGCTGGGAGCGGTGCCGAGCCCGGTTCCTGTGCGCTCGGCGGCCCCGCTGCGTTTTGTCCTTCGCCCTCAGCGCGGGGCGGGGAGCGGCCGCTTCGGCCCAGGGTCTGCGGCCCGGCGCTGCCTGCGTGTGTGACGTTTTGTTTGTGCCTTCCGTGTGCTTAACTTGTAGGGACAAGTACCGCTACTTCGCCGTCCTGCTGAGGGACCGCTTCGATAAGAACAAGGATGTGAAGGACATGGTGAAGGCAACCGAGCTGCTGAGGGCGGGAGAGGAGGAGTTCTGGGCCAACCAGCACCCCCAGCCCTACATCTTCCCCGACTCACCTGGCGGCACGTCCTATGAGAGATACGAGTGCTACAAGGTAGGTGAGGGGCTGCTGCGGTGCTGTGTATGATAGCTGTGCTCCTTTAGGGAGAGGAAAGGGGGGTTGATCGCAGGATCTCAGAATGGCTTTGGGCTGGAAGGGGCTTCAAAGCCCCCCAACTCCTGGCTGCATCCTGCCAGCATGGTCTGCCCCTCCGACCTGGTCCTGAGTGCCTCCAGGGATGGGGCACACACAGTTTTCTGGGCAGCTGTGCCAGCGCCTCACCACCCTCTGAATAAAGAATCTGTGCCTCACATCTAACCTGAAACTTCCCTCCTGTTTATAAATTCCCTTCAAGTACTCCCCAGATCCTTTTCTTCTCCAGATGGAACAAGTACAGTTCTCTCCACCTATCTTCATAGGAGAGGTGCTCCAGCCCCCTGATCATCTTCATAGCCTTGCTCTGGACCCTCTAACAGGTCCACATCATACTTTTCTGGGGCCCCCAGACCTGGAGTAGTGCTGCAGGTGGGCTTCACAAGGGCAGAGAAGGGGGGAAGAATCACCCCTCTCCCTCCATCCCTCTGTTGGTGCAGCCCAGGACGCTGTTGGCCTTTGGGGCTGCAAGCACACACTGCTCGTTCTGTGGTTTTTCATCTGCCAGGACCCCTGAGTCCTCAGCAGTGCTATAATAAGGCTTCAGTGGGGCTGCAGTTTGATTCACCAATATTTCTCTAATACTGTAGTGCTGTAAGTCTTACAGCTCGTGTGGGAGGATCTTGCTGTGCTTGGGTGATCCTTTCACATGGAATTTGCTTCTCTGTCAGCTGGTTTGGCTTTGCTGGACAGCACATGATCTTTTGGGAAGTGGCAGCTGCCCTGTGGTGGTAGTGATGCTGCCCTTGTGGCACTTGGGCCACGTGACCCTGACCTTGCTCTGGTCTTGCCAGAACTTTGGTATCAGTCAGCCTGGCTTTGGGGAGCTTCTCTTCCCTTAGTCCATCGTTCTTCCAGCATTTTTTAGTAATAGTAAAAATGACCATTTCCCTCAATCCATTGTAGTGCCACATAAGTATTTGAGGTCCATCATATGTTGAGTGGTATGCTGGAAAACAGCAGAAGTGTTCTTAGAACTTGTGGAGTTTGGCTTCTAGCTCCCTTGCTGAGACCGTTCTGTTTAGGAGTGGATAAACAGGGCTCACAGAAAAACACGGCATTTCTGCTTTCTTGCCATTGGCTCTTTTAATGCATTACAAGAAGTCAGTACTCATCTAGAGTGTGTGTGCACACTTTTTCTCTCAAATTTGGAAGAAAGTGCTGACACACAAGGCGATATCTGATCAGCTCCTTACAGACAAGAAGCTACATGAGAGAAAAGAACCTGACATGGATTAAGAGGCAGAAAAAGGAATAAGTGGAAATGGAAGAAGAGAACTTAAGCTTTATGGGCATTAGCATTGGCAGGGGTAATGGTGAGAAAGAATCCAGACAGGAAAAATAAGTAAATAAGTCAGGTGATCAGTAATTGGTCAGGATCAGCTTCATATAGTACACAGTATTTGTAGATTTCATGTGTGTTTGTGTGTGTGTGTATAATAAGACTGTTGTGTTTTGGTCGTGTTTTTTTCTAACAGCTTCCTGAGTGGTGCTTGGATTACTGGCATCCTTCTGAGAAAGCGATGTATCCTGATTACTTTGCCAAGAGAGAGCAGTGGAAGAAGCTGCAGCGGGAAAGCTGGGAGAAAGAGGTCAGTGTTTGCTTGGTGCCAAGTAAAGCTTCTTTAGTAAGCATTTGAGGGACATGTAGCTCTGTTCTTGGAAAATATTTAAAGTGAGAATGCTGAGCACCTGCTGTGGTCTGCCTTAAGCTGTGCTTTGTTAGAACATTTGTCAGTGTGAAATGCTGGCGCGGCTTAAAATGCGTATGCAAATCTCAGCATTAAGGCTTCTTCAAGGCTGAGGAGGGAGCTGCAAGTTAGAGCTGAACCTGCAGCCCTGGCCAAAAAATTTCTCATCACCTGTTGTAAAGCTCTGGATGCTTTCTGATTGCAGCTTTGTAGATGACTTGCACCAATTTGCATCATGTTGGAATCTAGGCAACTTAAATGGAACTTCTATTGGGCAAAGTTAATGGAATAATTAAAATGTAGAGAAATAATTGAATTGTATGTATTGTGGTGTTTTTATGAGAATTAACACAGTGGCAGCCAGCACTTAACGCTGCTTATAGAAACCTACATTAATAACACCTGTGGGGCTGCTGGGGGCATGCAGAAATGGGTTTCCTTCTGACTTGTATGAAAGGTTTTTAGGACTTGAAATTAATGGTAGCTTTCAAAGCAGCAAGAGAACACAGTCTATTTAATTTATTAATGCTAGAAATAAATTATAAGAAAATAATGACCTTTTAAGTAAAAACCCGCCTGTGAACCACTCTTCACTCTTGAAAATTCTTTCTTAGTTAGGTTTCTAAGTTTTTTCTAACTAAGAATTCATTCTTAGTTAGGAGCCTGCAGTGCTTACTGAGTTTGTCAGTGAATAGTGAGAAGCATTAAACCTGTCAGTCGGCCAAAGGCCTTGCTGGTGTCCTTTCCTCCCAAAACAGGGATCAGTTCCACCTGCTGCTGGAGTGCTGAAAACTGCAGTATTGAAATGAGATTATCTGTACTAAAGTGGTTTGGTTTGTTTTTTTTTTTGTCTTCTAGGTGAAGCAGTTAGAAGAAGAAACTCCAGCTGATGGCCCGAAAACTGAAGCTTTGCCTCCTGCTCGCAAGGACGGGCATCTGCCACCACTGTGGTGGCATTATGTGACAAGACCCCGTGAAATTCCCATGTGAAAGCATTACTGCATGCAGCCACTGAAGTGATTATAGATCTCCAATAGGCAGAAGGTGTGCCAGTGAACATATTACTGTAATGCATAATAAAGCCAACTGAAGTGAAACAAGGCATTTTTGATACGCTGTTCTGTTGCAGCATGGATGCGCTTCCAGTCTGTGCAGTGTAGAATGGATGACTTAGAGTCAGCACTGACTGCCAGCAAAGGAGTCTTCATGGGATGCTGACACCAGTGATTTTTAGAACACTGAATGGTTATTGGAACTTATTTTGCAGCTTTCATGGGAAGCTGGAAAAACTCCTGAGACTGAAAAAGTGGCTGTGTAAATTTGTGTTCCCAGTGAAAGAATGTAAGGCTAACGGGGCAGGAGAAGCAGACTTAGTGGGGAATGGGATCCAGCTATAAGCGACTGAACACACAGCGACTGAGGCTGGAGCCCATTTCCCACTGTGGAGAAGGTGGGAGGGAAGTGGGCCTGGATGTAAAATTAATGAGCAACCTGTACCAGACTGATACCTTGGACTGTGCTGTTAAATACAGGCATTTGTGCTATAGCTGGAGCTCTGACGTAATGCTAGCAACTCACGTGGCCTTTGGCTGCTTTTGGAGTGAGCGTTTTTCAAACCTTGCTGGAGAATAAGGACTTACTGCCTGCCCTCCCTAACTCAGTGCTTATACAAGCTTCCAGCTGTTATTATGGACTAAACGTCTTTAGCTTTGCAGTTCAGCACATCACTCATCTCTCACCTGTTTGCCTACTGGGCACAGAGCTGCTTTGTTCCAACCTTGGGTGCTGTGCAGGTGTTTGTACAGTGAGCATTCCAGGGTTAGGGGGTTTTAATACAGGCTCTCCAATAGCAGAATGTCACTTGGCTGCATTACAAGTGCCAGTTTGCTTCAGAGGCCACTTGTACTCACCTGAGTATAAAGGCCACAAACAGATGCAGGCAGAAGTCATGAGGAATACAAACTCATGGGATGTAACCCTGCTCAGTGTCTGACCTGAGCAGTCAGCAGACATCCCCCTCTCCCCCCCTCACTTCTGTTTGAGCAAATGTCAGCTCACAAACACCCTGTTCCCTCTCCCTCTGCCTTGCTATCCCCCCACATCCTGTATTTTGCTTGCTCATCTACTAACTACATAAGAAGGAATGCAAACAGCAAATAGTTCATGTGTGATTTTACCCCTCCATCACAATCAACCAACCGCTTTGTTGTTGCTGTAGGACAGAGCAGGAGTCCCTCCTGACTTCTGCAGTCCCCTCAGATGGTGTGGCTGCCCCCCTTACCCCAATGGCTATTCCATAAGGCAGCACTGATGGTTGGACTGGATTATCTCAGTGGTCTCTTCCGACTTTAATGAACCGTTCTATGATTTAAAGGCTGATCAAATCCAAGTCTTCCATTGCCCAGAGGTGCTGGGGAGGCACTGGAAGTGCACGGAGGTGACAGCAGCACCCTACAAGCAGAAGACTTTAAGAAGTGAAATACAGAAGTTTTCCAGCAGTTCTTTATTTATAACATAGGCTTAAGCAATCATTACAATGTAGAAGGGAGGCACACTTACAGCAATTATTTATACCAGTTTAGAACAAAAAACTGCACAGGGAGAGGTCAACTCTCAGTACAAACTAGCAACTAAACCACAATAATTTACCATTAGAAACATTTTATTTTTCAGCTGT